TGAAGGTAATCAACAACTCAGCCTACATTCCAAGTCTCTGTGCCAGAGAGAAACTGTGCCTTCCGCTCAAGCCAGCAATTACCCACACCGCTGGGTAACGACTCTGCTCGCTTGTTGGTAACACTCAAAGCTTCTGGACACTCCGAACATCTTCTAATTTCTAGCTCCCCTCATCTGACTAATTGTGGCATGTTTTGCCCCTTCTGCCTCATGTGGTTCATGATTACTATCGCAATTACCAAGCATTTCAGCTCTCCTTCCCCATTCCACCACGCAAATGCTATGGGTCAAACTGTATATGTATGATTATTACCAGGTTTTTCCTTTTTTCCTAAGCCTGTTTATTCTGAGGTCCAGGCTTCTTTTGTCTCCTGTGGATAATGAACAGGTCTTTTTTTTTTTTTTTTTCCTTTTCCCTTTCCCTACATCAATTTTTTAAATTGTGAAATATAACACTCATCCAGAAAAGCATATCATGTACAAATTATTTTCACCTAACTATCTCGTAAAAATATTTCCATGTGTTGTATAATTTCATAATACATTATAATCCATTTTAATTACTTGCTGTTAATTCAGATATATTTTATTTCTTTAACTAGACTGTAAACTACTTGAGGTCAGGTATCATTTCTTAGGTGGCTTTCCACCCAACATGGGCCTCCGCCCTACAACCCCAAGATAAGAGTTCCACGCTCCGTCCCCTGAGCCAGCCAGGTGCCCTAACCTCCTATTGCTTTAAACCACTGTTTGTGGTACTCTGTTGTGGCAGCCTTAGGAAACTAATATAGGAGAAAATTTTATATATGCTGAAAAATATCAAGTCATGCTCTAATAGAATGCGGTCCTACCCTAGTCAGGAAATGTGGGCATTTTAGGAAGACAGGGCTGAGACAGTGACTGTCCTTGCTGACCCTACCATCTTGTATGAGAATGACCATACTATGTATCTTCACGAGTCACACCATCTCCACTCTCAGCTCAGCTAATCTAGTCATGCTGCAGCCAGAGTGAACTTTCTAGAATCTGATCCTATCACCCGCATGCTTAAAATCCTCTGTGGTTCCCCTTTGCCCCCCAAAGCATACACAAACTCCTCAGGTCCCTCTCCACTCACCTCTCACCACTTCCTCCTCACCTTGCCTGCCCCTCAGTCTCTGCCTGGAACGTCTTTCCTTTGGCCTCATTGCTTGGCCAATCCTGTTTTTGCCTCGGTGTCTATGTAAGTGGCCTTTCCCGCTTCACTGCCCGCCCAGGCTGTCCCATAGTCCTCCATAATTTCCCTGGGACAGGAAATCTCTGCCTGTATACATCTCCGCCCATGTAGTTGGCCGTATCACCCTCCAGCCTTGCTGTACAAGGTGAGGTCTGAGAAACGGACGCTTGGGCATCACGAGTTTAAGACACAGAACCTCAAACCCAGCTAGGTCTTCACAATCTGATGTGCATTCTAACAAGATACTCGAGTAATTCTCCCCCCCCCCAAGTGATTCTTAACACGCATTGAATTTGAGAATTGGGTGTCTTCCACATCATCTCTGTGGGGGCAGGGAGCACTGTGTCCCCAGAACCCAGCAGAGCAGCTGTTTAAACGGAGATTTAGCTGATTTAATTCCTGAGTCTGATTTCCTGTTAACAAGCCTGTCTTACAGGAAAACAAAACAAAACAAAAAAAGTCTCCTTTTAACGGAATAAACAGACTCGTGTCTCCAGCCTATGTATTTTGTCACAGTTCCCTTTCAACTCCCCTTACACGTCTCTCATATTCTTTGTTTTCCTGTCAAATCCTATTTTCCATACGAAATATGTGAATGACTATTCTATTACTAATCATGTTTTCTGTTCTGTTTTGGGTTTTATTAGTAATTTAAAAAAAAAACACATAATGACAACACAGGCATTGTCAGATTTGTACCGTTATTTTTAAACTTGGCCCATGAAAACTCATACCTGGTAATAGTTTTAAAAATTGTCCTCCCCAGTTCTTTTTCCCTCCTCTCCCCTTCCCTTTCCTCATCCCTGCCCTTCTCTCTCCCTTCCTTCCTTCCTTAACAGATAACAGGATTCTAATGCTTCATGATAAATCTTTTTGTTGTGAGTCCTAGCCGTCAAAATCCCGATACATTTATATTTCTCACAAAAGTTCTCAGTAAATGATAACGTCACTTTTCCAGATAAGTATACAGGTAAGAGAGCTTTTACACACTCAACTTCAAATTCCCTTAACAGAATGTTAAATCTGAGAATTTATGGACCATCTCAAACCCAAATTTTTATTTTATTTTATTTTATTTTTTTCAAACCCCAAATTTTAAACGGGTCTCCATAAATCGCTGATTTGACCCACCTCTGATGACGCCTCCCCAACTTCCCCCCTCTCTTTCCCTTCCAGCAAGTTAAATTTGCAATTCGCTAAAAGGAACCACTCGCCTAAGGTTTGTAGCTAGTACGGGTCACGTGGCTAACAACCTTTTATAATGATAATGTTAGAGGGCAGGATAGGCACACCCTTTGTAGGTAAACAACAGTAGGATTGCTTTTCTTTTGTTGAATGTGTCAGAAGTTTAGTAATTTATCCAGTCAGAAAATTAATGGTGTCCCTTATTCAGTCAAAATTGGGGGGCCCCTGAGTGGCTCAGCTGTTCGGCATCTGCCCTCTGCCCAGGTCATGAATTTGGGCTCCTGGGATGAGCCCTGGGATGGGCTCCCTGCTCAGCGGGGAGTCTGCTTCTCCCTCTCTCTCTGCCCCTGCCCTCCTGCTCCTGTTCTCCCTCAAATAAATAAATAAAATCTTAAAAAAATAAACTAGGTTGTTTCAATTCAGGAGTAGTTTCGTTCCTGGATTATAGCCTCCTCTAGACTTCTGCAGGACCAAGCCATAAATAAATTCTTGCAGGTTTGTGTTGATTGAAGGATTTCAGGTAAATAAACAAGCTCAAACGCCTACTGGGGGCACAGAATGTAAACAAGAAAAGCGACAGCAGGGGGCGTGGCCGCCGGGAGCTCCCGCCCCAGGGCGGCTGGGCAGAGGCTGCCACCAGGCTTCTAGCGCGCTCCGCCCTTTTGCAAAACGGACCCCGGGTTTTCGGACAGGCTGCCACCAGGGTTCTAGCGCGCTCCGCCCGTTTGCAAAACGGACCCCGGGTTTTCGGACAGGCTGCCACCAAGCCTCTAGCGCTCTCTGCCCGTTTGCAAAACGGACCCCGGGTTTTCGGACAGGCTGCCACCAGGGTTCTAGCGCGCTCCGCCCGTTTGCAAAACGGACCCCGGGTTTTCGGACAGGCTCCCACCAGGCCTCTAGCGCGCTCCGCCCGTTTGCAAAACGGACCCCGGGTTTTCGGACAGGCTCCCACCAGGCCTCTAGCGCGCTCTGCCCGTTTGCAGAACGGACCCCGGGTTTTCAGAGCTTCACCGTTTACAAAGGACGCCAGAGATCGGAGCTTTGAAAGTCATCTCTCAATTTTTAAATGTTGGTAACCAAACTCAAATTTCCCCACACATTTTGCAAATCAGTACCATGAGCCAAACAGAGCACTCCGGGGAACCACGCAGTTCTCGGTAGCCCATTTGCAACCTCTTCGTTGAATAGCGCGGATGATGAACATTCATTTTCCCCCAAAACTGTTATTACTGGGAACGCCAAGATGGGTTAGAGCTCCTGCTCCGCAGGGGGCCTGACTAGGTTCAGATCCTGGCACCGCTCTCTGCCAACAGGCGCTCCAGAATTCTCTTGATGTCAAGAAACAAGTTTTCACCTGTAAACTGGTCTTTCTGGGTAAGAATGGCAGCTTCGCAGCATCGTTCTGAGGACAGAATGCGAAAATACCCGCTCAGGCCCTTCTCACTTAGCGGCTCTCAATACCTATAACCTAATCCCAATTACTACTCCTCTTTCTAATAATGGCAGTATTCGGGGACCCGCCAAACATCGTGTAGGTAGCCTCATACATCTCATTTCTCCTTCCACGAAAGCATCTAAAAGTGTCCCATAGGGCGCCTGGGTGGCTCAGTGGGTTAAGCCGCTGCCTTCGACTCAGGTCATGATCTCAGGGTCCTGGGATCGAGCCCCGCATCGGGCTCTCTGCTCAGCAGGGAGCCTGCTTCCTCCTCTCTCTCTGCCTGCCTCTCTGCCTGCTTGTGATCTCTCTGTCAAATAAATAAATAAAATCTTAAAAAAAAATAAAAATAAAAGTGTCCCATATAATGACTTACTCTTCTCACGTTACTAAGCAGCATCCCAATGAGTTAATGTCCACCTCTGCAGAGGGAATATGCTCCACCAGCCCAAGCTTGGGCGGGGGACTAAGCCCTCTGCCCACCTTCCCCACCCCCCTTCCAGATCAAACCCGTGTGTACTTGCTCTCCCCAGGGTTTTAGTCTGGTACGTTAGTCCCTTTGCCTCTGGCATCCTCTCTACTGCTGGGAACGTTTTCTTCATCTCACTTCCCCGCAACCACCCCTGCCCTCCGAGCTCGAGCTCCCCCTTTCGGATCTGGTTCTGGGGTCGGCTTCGTTAGAGTCTCTAATTGCCGGTTTACGATAAGGACCGGGCGCCCGGCCTCCCCAAGCCGCCGCCTTCTCGCTACAACTTTCCCCTCCCGCGACTTCCCGGCTCCGCTACAGCTGCGGCCGATGCCACGTGGGGCGGAGGCGCGCTCTCGGCCCGGACACCCTCCGCGCGGGCCCCGCTCGCGAAGGGAGTCACGGCGAGGCGGAGCCGGGTCTCAACGCTGAGCCGATCGCCGCCACGGCCGCGGAGCGCTAACGAGTCCGATAACGATATCCCCACTGCGGCGGCCCTCGGGGGCGGGGACAGGGGCGGGCGCACAGTCAAGTTTCGCTACGTCACGGTTCGCGGGGCCCCTTATAAGGGGCGAGAGCGGGCGCGAGAATCGTCCGGATCTGAGGCCCGAGCGCGGTCGTCGGTCCGCTCCGGTTGTGCGCGCTGCTCCGGCCCGTCAGCGACCCGCGTGCTGCTCGCCTTCTGCTGCCCCCACGGGGCTCGGATTGGACTGAGGTCCCCAGGGTTTTACCGCATAGCTCCGGTGGCTGCCTGTGGAGATGCCTGGGAAGAAGGCGCGTAAGAGCGCGCAGCCGAGCCCAGCGCGGGCCCCGGCAGGTAGGGAGCAGCTGGGGTCCGCGGAGATCCTGACCGGCGCCGGGGCCGGGGCGGGGAACGGGGCCGGGGCCGGGGCCGGGGCGAGGGTCAGGGTCGAGATCTCGGTCCCGGTCCCGGCGGGGTCCTCCCGGTAGTTTGCGGCCTCCGGGCCCGGCAGGTCTGCGCCCTTGCACATGCTTTGGGGGCGCCTCCGGGAAGTCCTTCAGAGTTTTTACCCCGGATGGTGGAGATGGCGAGGAGGAAACGCGATATGGGACGCACATTGGGATTTTAGCGGAGGCACAGAGCCTTGTTTTCGCCTCGCTTGCCCCACTTTCTCTGCCCCGGGGCCACGGGGAGAAAAAGTGCAAGTGCGGTCGCGAGGAGAAAGTCCTGGTCGCGGCAGGTGGGGACAGGAGAGGCTCCTCTGGAAGCGGCCTGGCGATCAGCCCTCTTCCTCCGGAGTCGGGGACCATGGAGGGCCCCGCTCTGAGTGTTGCCACTCTCGGGCCCCCAACACAAACTAAGCGACCCGTTACGCTTGGGTCTGTGGGGGGCTCTGCCACCGAGGGCTGATAGAGCATGACGGAGGCCCCGCGAGGACCACTGGAGGTCTTGGAAAAATTGTGCTGTCTTGAGTGGTAACATTTTAACAGTCGTTACTAGTTGTGGAGATGGATAGGAGGAGAACAGCAGATGGTCTCTAGTGGTTTTTCATCCATCCATTTTTTCCTCCTCCCTCCATAAAGCCTCATCGAATAAGTTTTTAGACCCGCCCTCTCCCTTACAAATCTTAACAGGGCAGCCATCCGCTAAGGGGGTGTAGCGAAGGCGGCCTTCAGGCTCTGAGCTCGAAATTCGTCATACTGCTATTGCATCAGACGCTGATGGCCCCTTTTTAACTTAACTTTCGATTTATAGAGCCTGTGAGGCTTGCAAAGGAAGTGGGATGGCCAACCTAAGTGGACACCGGGGTGCTCCCTCTAGCTCGCTCTTGGGAGGCCAAAAAGTTTGACCCACCTTTTGTGATGTTCAAGAAATCTCTGGTTTCCAGAAGGCCTAACCTGAGCATAACTTTCTGCCATTTTCCACTTCATTCCTAATAGTACAGGACAGCAGAAAGGGCCCTCTTTAACTCGGTAGGACAGTAATACATCTTTTTATTGAGATACAAGTGACCTAGGACATTGTATTAGCCTTGATTGATGTATGTATCAAAGGATGATTCGGTTTATGGATATATTGTGAAATAGCGCTAGTTAAAATCCCTCACCACACGTAGTTTTAAATTTTTTTTAAATTACTGCTTTTATAGAAGTGTAACAAAGACGAAGGAAACAACTAGCAGCTAGTTTCTGCCCCCTCTTTTGGGGAAAGAGATCGTTTTTTCCCCCCTTAAAATCCTTTTGTAATCCTTTTTCTTAAATTAATACTCTTTTAATGACAATATGTCGCTTCTAAAAAGTAGTAAACTTGTGAATTAAAGATATTTTTGCTTCACTCATAAAGGCAGTGGATTTGCACAAATTGGGTTTGTAAGAAGAATTTGGTTTACAGTGTAATGTAAATTTATAAGTTACTTTAGAGAATGTGGTCTTATTTTTGCAAGATTTTATGAGCCTTAGAAGAAATTCAAAGAGTTTTTTGGTGAGGTTAAGAATACATTTAGAGGGGCGTCTGGGTGGCTCAGTTGGTTAAGCATCTGCCTTCAGCTCAGGTCATGATCCCTGGGTTCTGGGCCACATATCAGGCTCCCTGCTCGGCGGGGAGCCTGCTTTTCCCTCTCCCTCCCCTACACCCCCTGCTTGTGCTCTCTCTGTCAAAATCTTGTAAAAAGGAGGGGAAAATACATTTAGATTTTTCTATTGAAGGTATAATACGAGGTGTGAATTACTGCCATTTAAAAAACAGATTCTACTAAAAACAACATACAAGAGTGTAGGATTTGACTTCTGTTCCCCCAACCAACCCTCAGTGAGTGAGAAAAGGATGACCTCACCTGAAGCTGGCCAAGGCTCCCTAACTCTGTGGTGTATGATGGAAATTTCCCTGTTGAAAGGCAGCATTTGCCTCATTCAGTGTGCTTTAAAAAAAAAAATATATATATATATATATATATATTTCAGAATAAACATCTTTATTCTTAACTATTCTATTGATTTATGAGTCACAATGTGTATATGGTGTGTTGGGGGGGAGGGTGTGCATGCTAAGTCACCTTTCTTGCATTGAGAAAATGGGTGTACATAAAGCTAAAGTTAAGGTAAATGTTCACTGAGTAAATACTCAGCTTGTCCCTTGGATGGGCACATTTAACTCTTGCTGGTTGCAATTTGTAATACCAGTGTGATTTTAATGTTTGGCTTTCCTTTTCAGACCCCGAAATGGAGTGTGCCATTCAACTCAGGAAATTTGGAGACAAACTGAATTTCCGGCAGAAATTTCTGAATCTGCTCTCCAAACTCTTCCGGTCGGGAACCTGACTGCTTCTGAAGCTTGAACGAGGAAACTGCTTTAAAATGGAAGATTCCCCAGTAGGTGCAAATTTAATCTAGAGGAAATGCCTTGTAATGGAGAAGATCTCACTTGCTTTTTGGACGTCCTTGGAAACAAAGATGGGATACATCAAAGATGGATTTTTGTTGGAGATTTCCCAGAAGACATTTGTTTTGGCTCATGAGGGTGTTTTAAAACCATTTTGTTTATTTTAAAGCAAGAATGGAGAAGCTTTGAAAAATAAAGACTTACTTAACATTTTGTTTTTACTTCTGAAATTATTCCGGTAATTTTGCTGAGGATTGCTGTGCAGCTTACTGTAAGCGCAGTTGGCAGATGAATGGACAGTGGTCAGAGGCAAAAAAACAGAATGTGTTCAGTGTTAGGTTTTATTTTGGGATGACAACTCCAAAGTGAAGTGTAAGACTTGGTTTATATATTATCTTGTTAAAAGTAAACATTTCATTCTGAGAACACTGAATGTTGTAGAGAGTGTGGATTCCACAGTTCACTACAAAATATAAAATGATTGGAAAGCTTGTTTCTTACTCAAAAACATATTGCTTCTGTTCAGATGATCCTTGAATTATGTTTCTGTGAATTTTAACGGGAAAGCCTGTACTTTGAAAAATGTGATAGAGGTGTTAGTTGGTTCCAGTAAGGTTGTTGAAGGTAGAATGTTAAAAAATAAAGAGCACAGGGATTTTGTAGAATCAGAAATAATGGGGGAAAAAGGTGATTTAGGCTTTTTTACTGTTGTAATTAATACTTAGTAAAAGTATTCTAAAGTAACTCGATAAGATGAATGTGTTTCTAGAGAAGTTTGTAAAATCTGTAAAAGGACTTTCTCATACTGGTCAGGGTATGTCTCATAGGAAGTGATCTTTTAAGAGAAATTAAGTATGTTTTACATAGTTCTTTTTTTTTTTTTTTTTTAAGGGGGATTGGATTTCTCACCCAGAATAAAAATGCCATATATGTATAATTTGCTTTAGAAGAATATGTAGATTCTGAGAAAAGTTTCATGAATTTCCCTTTTTTTATTGTTAAAAGGCCAGTCTGTATCAACAAAGTCCCTAGATAGATTAAAAAAAAGAATAATGTCTTGATTGAATTTCAGCAGGAATTTTATTTATTTTAACTATTTATGATGAAAATATTGTTTTGCTTAAAAATGTCTGTTAAAGTTACATTTGTAGGTTATGAGACAAGGCTTTCATAACCACTTGAACTTAACAGTAAGAATGTTTTGCCCTAGGCTGTGGTCACTTTAGATGAAACATTACCTCAGTACCTGTTTTTTCCTCAGTATTATTTAGTCACAAAAATGCTTTTTGTCTGTCTAGAGGCAGGTATTTTGCCGTTAGGATATTTATGGTCTGTAACTGTATTTATACATACAAAATTGGATACTGTAGCTATAAACTACTAAGAATTAATCACCGTTTCTCTGCGTGTTCCTTTCTGTCACCACATCACCGGCCCAGTGTTCATTACGAAACCAAGATGGTTTGACAGGTTTCCATCAGCAGGTCCCTTCTGACCACCACCTCCTCAGTCACAGTTCTGTTGCCCAGGGTGGAACATACAGGGGACGTTTAGCCTGATTTCTGCTGTCAAGGGCCTTGCCATTTAATGAGGAGAGGAAATAGTGAAAAAGAAGAAATCCGTGCCTGGCAGAGGTCTTGAATGCCTTAGTTCCTGGAGTCTGATTTATTGAAAGTTGCCTACAGAGATCAGTCAGTATCCATGGGGCTACAATGTGTCCCTGCCTTGGCTGCTTGGGGACCTCTGCCAAGCAAGAGAAGCTTCTGGGCGGTTTCCTTGACGATGGCCTCACACTTCTCTCTCTTCTGCCCCAACACTGAGCAGCTAGTATTGCTTCATCTGAAGCTAGTCATGTGCAGAAGGAGTGCCTTTCCTGTGAGAGGGTGAGAACTCCTAGTTGGTAGCTCTTTAGGCTGAAACCCCAGAGTGTAAATTACCTTGCTCCAGACGGGAGGCCGAGAGGAGGGGCTACCGGAGGAAGGTGACCACATGGGTAGGGGGAGATGAAGGGCTGCCCCAGGCCATTGGAGGAGGCCGGGTGGGGGAGATTGGCTCCATCAAGGTGAGGGGGCCCTCTGCGTGATTTGATTTGAGAGTCTCTGGAAGAGGAATTCCCGTCCCTCTGCCCCTCTGCATAGCCAGAACTGTTGGTGTTAATGAGTTTTGCTAAGAGTACCCTTGCTGCTTTTTTTTAATACAAGGAGTGGCATAGGAAAGCTTTGGCATCATGAACAATCTTAAGGTCGGAGGACTATATATTTTCAAAGAACTCTTTTTTAAAAAAGACTTCATTTATTTGAGAGAGAGAACACCAGTGAGGGGGAGGGGCAGAGACCGAGGGAACAGAAGCAGGTTCTCTGCGGAGTAGGGAGCCTTATGCCGGCCTCCATCCCAGGACCCTGAGATCAGGACCTGAGCCCAAGACAGACACTTAACCAACTGAGCCACCCAGGCACCCCAGAAAAACAACGTCAAAAAATTCCCAGGATGTCCACATAATTGTAAATACTGACTAACGAAAAGCTACTGGGAATTAAAAAAATAGTTTGGTTTGCATTTATATGTAAGAAAATCTCCATAACCTTTATATTTGAAAAGTCATCTAGAAATGGCAATGTGTGCTGTTAGTAAAATCCATACAAAAAGTATAATCCTTAGACTTGGTTTAAAAATTGAACAAGAAAAAAAATCACTACCTTTTCCACAAACGTGTCTGCAGTCCTTCACATTAAAGTTACCATCATTCCCTCCACAGCAAGTAGAGGGGAAGGCCTCCTGGGCTTTGTGTCTTGGATTAAAACAATAGTGAATCACTTTAGCAAAGCACAGTCTCTCATCATTTGAAACTGTGGCAAAATGATGGGACCTTTAGGAAAAAAATAAGATCAGAAATGCAATAATACCAGAATTAAGACTATGACTGAAGTAACTGAAGAAGGTCTAAACCCATGGAAGCTTCATTCTGAATCCTAAATACTCCAAACCATTTAAAAAGTGGGCCTCAAATTTCAAGAACTATATTTTGTTCATTTGTTTAAAAAGATTTTATTTGGGGGCAGAGCTCTGGGGGAGGGCGGGGGACAAGCAGGCTCCAGGCTGTGCCATGCAGAGCCCAATAGGGGGCTGGATCCCACGACCTTGAGATCATGACCGGAGCAGAAACCAAGAGTTGGATGCTCAACCGACTGAGCCACCCAGGCGTCCCTATTTTTAATTTTTATAAACCGGACAAAATTTCTTCTGGAGCTATCTCCTTGTATCATTTGAATGTGTAAAGGAATTAGACTCCCCAAACAAATATGGTCAGGTAACAAATGGGCTACACGTCAAGGAATAACGTGACATGCTTTTAGTAAGCTGTCCTATGCTGTAAGTTTTTTTTTTTTTTAAGTTTATTTATTTATTTTTGTAATCTCTACACCCAATGTGGGAGTTGAACTCATGATCCAAAGAGCAAGCATTGCGGGCTCTTCCAACTGAGCCAGCCAGGTGTGTCTCCTGTGTTGATAGTTTTATTTTGACATGTTTTTATCGGCTCTCCTTCCATTATTAATCAAGAATACATGTATCTAATTGTATAATTTACATTTACACAAACAATTTAAGAGAAAACCAGCGACAACCATCTCCTCAGTAATTCAAGATTTTGCGTACTCAAGGGAGTATAGCTTATCGAGCTTTATCAAAGTCTCTGCCAAACCAAGCTTTTCTTGTTTGGTGAATTTATTTATCTCTGTGTATGTGTCTTTCCTGTCCTTAGGGAAAATGCCCGTATGGTCTCTCAACAGTTACTAAATCTGCCCAAGTAACTGATCATTTCAGGGACTGTGGGGGCTGGGGAAGGACGCAGGTAAGAAACGGGGAGGAGAGAAGAGGGACAGAGATCTCTTTGTGCTGCAATGTGCAATTACTAAAGGATACAGAAATCCAATCAAAAACTTTAGAAATGTTCAAGTGTCACCGTCTTGAATTTATACTTATTCCATTATCTCATGTATACAACTGATTCCATACAATGTGTGGAATCATGTGGAATCATGTGGTCATGGTACTCATTAATAAACACTGTAATTTTTAATTTAATTTTTTAAAAAGTAAGCTCTAGGCCCAACTCCTGACCCTGATCTCAGGGTACTCTACTGACTGAGCCAGCCAGGGACCCCTGAATACTGTAATTTTTTTTTTTTACATTTTATTTATTCACTTGACAGAGATCACAAGTAGGCAGAGAGGCAGGCAGAGAGAGAGGAGGAAGCAGGCTCTTCACGGAGCAGAGAGCCTGATGTGGGGCTCGATCCCAGGACCCCGGGATCATGACCCGAGCCGAAGGCAGAGGCCTCAACCCACTGAGCCACCCAGGCGCCCCAATACTGTAATTTTTTATGTGTAAATCGAGTAGATGAGAAACAGTTCTAGAGAAACAATGCAGAAGCGGAAGCAAACACTCCAATCACGGCCTTGTCACTTTCCAGTCCTCAGAACTTGGCAGTTCATTAACTTCTAGCCTGTGCTCCTACAGGTAAAACTGGGAGTAATGCTTGGGGCAAGAACCTGAGGACTGATATTACAGGCGGGTGGGAAAAAAAAAGTCACTTATCTATCACTGATCTCTTTATCATCTATCAATGTATCTATGAACAAGATAAGTTGTTTCCTTTAGTCTGAAGGCTCTGTGTGCTGTGATTTGGGCTTTTTAATCCCTTGCAACAACTCTCCCCCCACAACACAGAGAGAGAGAGAGAGAGAGAGAGAGAGCGAGTGCGCGCCCTATGGGCCAGAACAGCATAGACTGTGAAAATCTTGCCAAACTGCTTGAACCTTTGTCTGAGGGAATGCTCCTCCGGGAAGACAACTGGGATCTTGATGACAGTCTCACGACTGAGTATGATGGAAAGCGGAGAGCGCCCTGCTTCGGAATCAAAGCCAAGCCTTCCGTGAACTGTGAGACTGAGCAGAGCGGCCTGTCTGAACCCGAGTGATTCCTCTGCATCCCCTCTTAGGTCATTTGTGTTTTGAGACAGAGAATGGGAAGATCTCCTACCCCACTCCCGGTCCTACCAGCCCCATCCTGCACACAGTGTAAGAGAAAACTGAAGGGTTTGCAAAAAGAAGTAGGAGAGTGGGTTTAAAACTCCCCCTCCAATGATCTGTTTCTCAAATTCTTCTCCCAAACACTGATTCTAAGTCCGGGAGGAGGCTGGGCAGAAACATCTTGGACTTCTAAGTATTTTCCTGGACGTGAAAATTCCCCACGGACTCCGGCTTCCCTGATGGTGGTGTTCCTGTTGCAAGGAGGCTTCTTATAGGTAGCTGAAAATAGATGGGGTCACCTGACAGGACACACCCTACCGTCCGAGTCTCTCACATAATAGGTCATGGTTCAAGAGCAAAACCTTTGTCAATACAATCCAGGCCCTCACTTCAGCTTCTGTTTTAAGGACTTTCAGAAGTCAGTTTAACAAAGTCAGAGTGAAACGGTCACACCCACCCGCAGTCTTCTTCCAGATCAGTTACTGTAAAAAACACCAGAAAAATGAGGGAAGTGATGAGTGGCAGGTAGGGATTTAGGATTCCTTTACCTCGTAAGTCTGGGTCCCCGATGCACCCGTAGGTGTGCTCTAAACTGTACACTGTCTGTGATTAGAAACCGAAGGGTGCGTGGAACCTGGGCTTGGGTTTGGATTGGAAAAGGAATGTACAAATGGCCCTTTGGTATTTCTCATGTCTTAGTAAAAGGCTTCTTTTCTTTTAAGCACATTCTCTCACTAATGACCTCTAATGGAGCTGTGAGATTTGCCCATTTCCAACTGCACGTCTATTTTTAAAACCACAAACTTTCTTTCTCTGCAATTAGCATTGGCTTTGGA